TTCATCTACCAAAATCCCTCCTTGAATTGCATCCTCCAAGCCAGAACCAAAATAATGTCACGAAATGATCTGAAAACAATTCCAAAACACGATGGGTAATACTAAGATCAATGTTACCAGCACGATATAGCCTCCCAATTTGCGAATCTGTTAAAGCAAAAAACTCTTCAAAACTCAGATTTGACAATAGCCAACAAATTAACAGCAGATTTAATTATCTAATCTGGGTCGGTTGATCGCGAGCAAGCAATAGGAGGAAAGGAAAAGACAAATTACCTGTCCTCTAATCCCTCCTCCAAACACAGATCTACCTTTCACAATTGGGAATTCAAGAGACAAATTGTGTTTACCTGGATCATTAAAATATGATTCCAGTCTTGGTAAACAGCTTGTGATAAACTACCCTACTGCCAAACCTTGTGGGAAGGTTTACCACAACTCACGGGCCAGTGGTGTAGATTCGTTACAAAGCATACGAGTTTTACACAAAGAAGGCAAGTATCATCAGAACAAGGCAATGGGACGCATGAAGAGACTGTGGAGCACACTACAGAGGTATCTAGGCAGACAATGATCGCTAGACAGCCAAACCCATGAGATGTCCAGAAGATTCTATCGCAGAATTCAATAAATATGTCACTTGAGTCAACGATTATACCAGTTTTGACGGCCAATCGATGAGAGGTTCGAATCGGTCAGGGAAGACTTTTGAACAGCAGCCTAAACCCTTAGTAGAGGCTGCATTATGCCTCGGTTCGTCGAGAGGCCGCACAGAATCAAGTGATGAAACCCTGGCTACTCCGGCGACGATGAACATCATCAGTGCATAGTTCGGGCCTGGATCGCAAAACAGTGGGATCGAAGCAGAAATGTCTGTGACAGCACAAAAATGATCAGATTTTCTCAGATCGTAGAGCTATCACAGGAGATCGCTTAAAAAACTTCAATGTTCTCATTGTTGGTTATGAAAAAGCATACACAGGAGGGTTGTTTGAAACAATTGGTTAACCCTGACTGTGGCGAGAATGGGAACGAATTTAAAAGAAAAGTTACAGGTAAGCCGAAATACAGCTTCGGGGCAAAAGCCAAGAGTCGCTACCGGCAAAACTAAAGCAGCGAGAATTGTGGCGGCAGGAACAAGCAAAGCGGGGATCACGCTATGGCAAGCGCGCGCTGCGAGAGCTCTTAAGAACCCTCAGAAATTCTCTCAAGTAAATGAAAAGATTGGATAGTGGGAAATAACTATCCCACATAGGCCATATTCAAAAGGAGAAGAGAGGCGTCTATTGGCTGTGTCGACCGCCCCCCACTACCAAAGCCAATAAACGGACCAATAAAGAGCAAAAACAAGTGACCACGCCCCAATTAAATTCTGCTCAGGATTCAGCCCACGTCCGGAAAAAGAAAATAAATGGGATTCTTGACTCGGGGTGCCTCACATACCGTCACTCACGATGCCTTCAGATTTATTACCTCAGAAATTCTAGAAAAAGAACTTCATACAAGTGCATAAGGCATTGTTTGTCAAAAGTGAGAAAATGCTGGAAAAATTTAATTCATTCCTAAAATGGAATTGGAGCATTGCTGTTATGGGCCCCTCACTCTCGCAGAACTTTTATCAGTCCAGTCATATTTACTCAAAGAACTGAATTAGTGTGTCTCATGTATCCTCAATTTTGTTTTGCAGGACATTCATACGAAGAGATCACTTGTCGGCGTGGTACTGAGTTTGACGGACTGTATTATAGTCGATGAGGCCGTGGTAAAAAAGGGCGGCTGATAATTTACTTTGCTCTGGAACTGCAGGATAGACAAATTTGGCCTATGTCATAGAAGATTGGCACTCCGTCAGCGCAGTGAATGATTACGGTTCTTATTTCTTACTTTGTTTAAAATAGGAACTCTTGTTTGAATTGTGAGACTTGCATTACTTGCGAAAAGTCACCGTGTTTCAATTTCCTTTAAACAATACTAGACGTGATAAAGCAATTCTAGCTTTGATTCACTCTTGATGTTTAGGGGTCTTGCTCCAGATTGCTCTACCTGGTTTTCAATATTTTTGTGTTATTTGTGAGATTAATTTGTTCTCGCATGACTGTGTGTATTTTTAAAGCATAAATCTCTGAGGTTTGAAAAATTTGTTGCATTCTTCCCAGCATGATTTTTCAAACTCTATTCACCGAAAAATTTAAAATTCTCGTTCTGACAATGGCACTGAATATGTCAACGGAGCCCTGAAAAACTTCTGACAATGGCACTGAATATGTCAACGGAGCCATGAAAAACTTCTTCCTTGAAAATGGTCTAATCCACCAAACTACATGTCCCTATACACCACAACAAAATGGTGTTGCTGAACGTCGGAATAGAACCCTTCTGGATATGACACGAGCAATGCTTATCGAGTCCCGTGTTCCGAAATTTTTTTGGCCAGAAGCCCTTGCTACTTCCGCCTACCTTCTGAACCAGTTACCCATAAAGATTTTGGATCATAAAACACCCTTACAAGTCCTTGGTAGTCAAGTAGACGTTCCCCAAGCTTTATCTTTGCCTCCACGGATTTTTGGGTGCTCTGTTTTCGTTCACATTCCAAAAGGGGATAGAGCTAAACTAGACCCTTGTGCAATCAAATGTGTTTTTATGGGATATGCACTTCATCAGAAGGGGTACAGGTGTTATAGTCCTAGTACACGCAAGACCTATGTGACTATGGACTGTAACTTTGTCGAGACTGAATATTACTATATTGCCCATTCTAGTGGTCAGGAGGAGAACAATAGTGATCCACTAGCATGGTTGAACAATAGTGCTATCTTAGACAGTGCTATTCCAGAATCAACTAAGCTTGCAAATGAATCTATCAGACAAGAATCAGAAGGTGACACACACTCAGTACCACAAGAAGTGCCATCTTTACCCAATGTCTCTCCTTCTGAAGATGTCCAACTAGAGGTAAGTGAGGAATCACACTCCTTTAGTAATAATGATTTGATTGATACTAACTCTGAACAGGAGATCCAAGAAGAAAGATACCATCTGCCTCCAAGAAGTCCTCCCAAGAAGTAGCGTTGCGGGATTACACCACACAGATGGTATCTCGCTAAAGAGTTTCTCAGAGTTTACCGGATACCCCGTGAACTATCTAGTGAGACCAGTGAAGCTGTAAAAACTTTCTCGCTTACCATTCATGAGGTAATTTCGAGATCAGTAGAGGAGGCAAAGCAAAAAAAGGAATGGTGGGAAGCAATGAAAGAAGAAATGAAAGCTCTGGAAAAAAAATGGAACATGGGTAACATGTGAACTACCAAATGGGAAGAAACCTGTAGGGTGCAGATGGGTGTTTACTATTAAGCATAAGGCTGATGGGACAGTTGAAAGATACAAGGCCAGACTGGTTGCAAAAGGCTACACTCAAACCTATGGCATAGATTACTCAGAAACCTTTTCTCGTTGCAAAAGGCTACACTCAAACCTATGGCATAGATTACTCAGAAACCTTTTCTCCAGTTGCAAAGATAGACACAATTCGGGTTCTTTTTTCCATTACTACAAACAAAAGATGGCCTATGCACCAGTTTGATGTGAAAAATGCATTCCTACATGGGGATTTGAAGGAAGAGGTATATATGGAAATTCCCCCAGGCTTTTCTAAAAACTTTAAAGGAAACGAAGTTTGCCGACTTCAAAAGGCACTATATGGATTAAAACAATCTCCACAGGCATGGTTTGGAAGGTTCACTGAAGCAATGAAAAGATATGGCTATCGGCACTTCGCAGAGAATTCTGACACACCTGTTTTTAAAGAAAAGAGGAGAACTAATCACATACCTGACATCATTCTATCTGGATGATATGATCATCCACAGTATTGACAAGGAAGAATATAACAAAGCTCGAGATAATCTGCTTTGCTTGAATTTTTGAAATGAAAGATTTGGGAGGTCTTAAATATTTCCTTTGGAATTGATAGTCCTACGATCAAAGATGGATTCTCCACTTTCTCCAAAGAAATATGTTCTTAGATCTTCTGCTCGCTGAAACAATAGATGAATTGACTGCAAACAAATTGACACTTCCCTAACAAGTAATCATGGCCCTGTTTGAAGAAGGAGGAGAAAAGCTGCGACAAAGAACTGTCGTCAGCGGCTTAGTTGGGAAATTATTACTTATCTCATTACTAGACCCAAATACTAGCATAATGTCGGGTGGGTAGCCAGTTTCCGCACTCTCCACAAGGACGCACATGGAACTGTGACAGAGCGATTGTGAGAGGTATCCTGCAAGGGAACGCCTGATGATCCTGTTCAGGACAATGACACTTGGAAATAGAAGCTTACACTGATGCTGATTGGGCCAGGAAATCAAATGATAGAACATCCACTTCTGGTTACTTCACTTCTGGTTGACGGGAAATCTGGTACAACTTTGGCGTCAGGCCAAGAACCAAAAAGGTGTTGCTCTTCAGTGCTCTTGAATACGCTTAGTGAGATAATCAGAGGATTGCCAGAGGAGTAAAAAAGAGGGTGATTATGCTAAAACCTAACAATTCTTGATGAATTGGGTTTTCCACGCAGGCGCCACCATAAACTAAAAGTGTGAAACAAGACAATCACAAGGCATTATCTAAATCCTTCCACCACTCGACACGACAAAGCATGTAAGAGACTTGATAAGAGACACTCATCAAGGAGAAACTTGAAAGTAATCGACTTCCATTTTGAGGCTGGACACACCATAGTTACCGACATTTACAAGGAGAGATTACAAAACAATCTTTATTCATCGAAGTATTGGCAAGTGAACATTGAAGATCCCGCTGATAACTTGATAGGGGAGTGATTACAAATATGGAAAAGTCAAATACCAATAATTTATGAAAAATCATTAAGCCCTAAATATCAATAGACGCAGAATATTTTGACTTTCCTAGAACAATAATGTATAACAGTATACAATTTAACATTACAGAAGAATGAATAATTAAGAATTCTATAAGCCTAAAATCAATAGAGCAGAATATTTTTGACTTTCCTAAACTAATACATGTATACAGTATAAATTTAACATTACAGAAGAATGAATGATAAGAAATTCTATTCCTCTAAATTATCTTTCTTTCTATCTTCTATCATTATTTCTATATCATCAGAGGGTTTCACATCTGTTCGAGGAATTAGTGAAAAGTGATTAAGCTGACTAAGATAAATTCAGTCGTTTGATGCTGTTAGAGGATAATTTCAATAATGGAGATTCTTTATCGAGGTTTGGTGCAATTTTTAACTTGGCTTGGCTCGGCTCTCCTGGATGATTTCAGAGGCGGGTTTGAGAAGGGGCCATGGTGGCAACGCCTTTTCAATGGATACACCATCACAACCTGGATGGTAGTGTTAAAATCTTGGGTGTTCTGGACTTCTGGTCTCATGGTTAATGAAATTTGCTGACAATATTGTCAAGGTATCTCCTTTTGTTCTATTGTGACTTTGTGGTTGTTTATGTGTGTAATATTTCTTCATAATTTTCTCCAAGCACTTTTTGACTAGAAGTTGTTTCCTTATTAGTTTGTAGAAGCTAGTCTATTTTGACATCCTGATCCATTCTTCTTGTTAAATTTTGCATTTCATGTTTTCCAAAGTTCTTGTCACAGCTATTTCTTTGTTTTAATTTATTTTAGGTGTATTCAACATGAATGGCAGTGCTGTTGACCATGGTTCTTTCTGTGTTCCTGTTTAATTTCAGGCCAACATTGCAGGTAAGTGCCCCCCCTCCCCTCCTCTCTCTCTCTCTCTCTCTCCTCGTGCACCCCTCACTGTCCCTTGTCTTACTACTAAAGTGGCTTGCCTCACTCAGCTAGGCACCCAAGTCCTCTCATAGTGCCTAGACAAGTGCCTGGACCTGGACATTAGGAAGGTCAGGTGCTTGCCTTATTCAATTGTTGGCTTACAACGTCTTTGTCCCTGGGGAGAATGCATCAAAATATTAAATAAAATAGAAACAAGCAGATATTCCACTTGCCTTTACTTATGGCAAAAATTACTGTCTTTTCCTTGAACAATAAAAAGATGGGAAAAAAGGAAAATGCTAGAGAGGAGAAGATTTTGGTTAAGAGGTTCCAACAAAGGCCAATTATTTTACTTTCCTTTTTGAAAGTTTCTGCTGCCGCGTGTTATTTTTCCTCCAACTGGGAAGAGATGTCTGTTTCTTTATTTTTGTGCGGTTCGAATTTAGTGTTCCCTTAGCTTTTGGTTTGAAAAGGATTCTTCTCTTTTAATGTGCCTATCGGGCTCATTATTCGATTGGAAAAAGAAGGTTTACTTTAAGTACTGTTGGGTAATTATGTTCATATTCATATTCTCTTTCTAACATCATCTGACGCTCTTTTGGGCCTTCTCTGTTCCCCAGTTTGTTTAGCAATTGTGAGATTCTGATCATAGGATACTTCACATTTTTTTTTCTTATGCTGGTGCAGCTGTTCTTGGGGATTATTGTTTGCACCCCCAGGTATGCTTGTGGATCTGCCTTCCGTGAGAGAAGCAGATCCAGAGAGTCTTGTAGATATTTCGGTTGAAAGAAGAACGAACTCATGATGCGCTATTTCTGTTGAAAGCTAAAAATTCTTTGGTTAGTTTTTCAGTGAACTAAATATTGTTAAACGGAGCATATAATTCCTGGTGAAGTGCTTAGAAAAAAGCCATTTATTTCTCTAATTGCCGATATATTAATATCCTGGCTCATCTGGCAATTGGCATTCTTGTATGGCCAAAAGACGAGAGAAAAATATAAATGTATAATAGTACTGAAAACAACAATATCTGGCTATTTGATTTCCAGTGGGGTCTTTGGCCATCTATTGCCGGGAGTTGCGACCACCTACCGACAGCTATAGTAGAAGAAGTTGCAGCCATTATATGTGGTCTATATTGCTCTGTAGTTGTTCCATGTTCTTCATAAGTCATAACCATTTGTGTTAATAATGCAATGACCATTATATTCAACAGTTTACTCTGCACAGTAAATGCTCTTCAATTGTTGAGGCAATTAATGCCTCCCTCCCTCATTTTCATAGAGGTAATTTGTGCAGAAGAAGATTTTGACGAATAGTTGCATTGACTGGACAATGCTTGTAGGTATTGATCTGTTGCTTTCTATCTTATTAGACCTCTAGATTTGATATTCTTTTTTTTTTTTTTTTTTTTAGTTGCTTATCATCTTTCTAGAAGCCTCATAGATTTGATTATTCCTTAATTATTTTTTTTTTTTCAAAGAATTGGGTAAAGTTCATGCACTCATAACGTTTTAGAAAACCTGAGTATCTATTGTATTTATTTATTATTTTTTTATGTTCAATTAACTAACTTTAAATATTAATTTACTTTTTTTTTTTTTTTTTTTTTTTCAAGAGATTTTTGGTAGTGTCATTGCACTCATAACGTTTTAGAACGTGAGTACATTTTTATTTTATTTTTTTTTATTTCAATTAATTCACCTTTATAATTTATTTACTCATATTTTTTGAATTTCTTCGTCTGATATTCTGTATTTACATTTTACATTCTTTGTTTCTAAATTATTCAAATACAATCTCAAGTGCAATAGTTGTCGCTACAATATGAAAGTGCCTGAAGCTTCTGGAATGGATTTTGTTTTTTATTTTTAAAAGGCTAGAAAACACCAATGAAGAAAAGGGAGTTGGTTATCTTCTTCCTCGTTAATCAATAATAGCAATAAATCATGTCAATTCAGTCTTTTTCTTTTATGAGCACTGAATTTAGATGAGACGTGTAAGAGAAGATTCTAGAAGAAATTGAATTATGTTAATTAAGCATCATTAATTTTAAATCTTCTCCTCAAATGGCCGAAAAGAAAAAGAAAAATAAAAATTGTTGGCATTTCATGCGCTCACTGGTAAGTCTGGAACACACAATCATGTCCTCAACCTCAAGTAAACAATTTGTTAACATCAACCCTTTACTAGTTGATATGCATCGTGACCATGTAACTAACTCTAGTCAAATTCTTGATTGGCAAGAAAAGTCTACTGATAGTTGATTACGTGGAAATGAAAAAACGTTTTTTAACATTATTGCTGACAATTAGGCACTCAAAATTGCCCAACATTCAGATATTTTCTTTACGTAACAGTAACAACTCAATATCAACTAAGAAATTATTTTTGTCATTTCAAAAAAACAAAAATAAAATTATTTCTGTCCATGTTGACGCGGGCCCAATCATTTAATTTTGGGTCCGATTGAACAGCAGATCTTCTTTTTTGGGGGTCCAAAGGTAATAATTGCAAATTCACTGTATGCGGATCTAGTTAATATTATTTTAAAGTTTTTCGACTTATTTTGCTTTGCATTCATATTATGTAGATGGGAGCCGGTATTGGGAAAAAATGATTCATATAGTTAACCTAACTAATTGGAGTTAAGACTTTGTTGTTATTGGTTGTGTTGAATGGTCAAAAATACCCTATTTCTTTCATTTATTACTATTTAACCACCATTGAATTGACCATAATTAGCTTCGTGTATACAAATAAATCACTTTGAAAGAACTATAAATCTAATCTGGTGTCAAGACCTACGAGTCAAGGACAGAAAAATCTCTACGGAGCGTAGACCGCCCGCTTGTGTAGGACTAGATCTTGGTACTAGTCCATAACTATCAAGTCGAGTAGTCTGATTTTGCCATAGCCAGCTGTTCTTTCTCTTTGGACCGTTATTTTCTTCTCTCAAGTTAAAACCAATGGAGTACTTAACACGTAGCGCAGCAAAGCAATTATAAAATCTTATTATTAAGAGAGAGAAGCATTGTTTTCTCAGTAATTACTTGCAATATTGCATTACCTCGACAATGTTAGTTACCCCACATCACATTCCACCCTCTCAGTCTTCCTTTCTTTCAATTCTTAAATCTCACCTACCAATGCCCATACACGTTAACTAAAGCCTTCTTCTTCCTCTATAAAACCCCTCTAACTTGCTGTATTTGCCCCAACCTACAAGCTGACTAGTTATTGGGCAAAAACTAACTAAACATGGAGTCAGTAGCCAGGGCAACTACAAACATAGAGAGCCAACCGAATGGAAAGCACGGAAAGGATCGGTGTGGGTACTTTCAGATGCCGTTGCACTACCCGAGATACACCGAAGTAGAGTACCGGAAGATGCCAGAGTGGAAGATTGATTGCTTGCTCAAAGAGTATGGCCTGCCTATTACTGGAGATGTTGAGCACAAAAGAAATTTCGCCATGGGAGCTTTTCTTTGGCCTCACTGAATTTTACAACTAATCTAATGTTAATTGCGCTTATGTTCAGCTAGTTACATGTAGAACTGTATGTCGGGGAATTTTGAGTGTCTAGTTTGAGATAGGAGGTTTAAATGTCTTGATTTGATGTTTGTGAGTGAAGAATTGGTGGATTGCATTACTTAAATTATACTTAAAGCACTGTACACTGCTCTGTGTGCTTAAAAGCATAATCTACCACCAAGAGAAAAAAAAAAAAAATACTCTTTATGTTTTTTTCTGTTATATATTTTTCCTTTTCCGAAATATTAAGGAGGGTGAAAAATCCAGAAAACTTCTGCTCTATCTTCATCTAATGAAGCAAGATACAATTGATCTTCTTCTTCTTCTTCTTCTTCTTCTTCTTTTTTTTTTTTTTTGCTTTAGTTGGTAAATTCTTCTTTTTTTTTTTTTTTGGAATATTAAGAGGATGTGAAAACCGCAAAGCCGCAAAGCTATCCGCATCCATCAAGCTTCAAACCTGTATTTGAGCATTTACTAAAATTCAAGTTACAAATCCTGGAAGTACTAATTTCTGTATGCATCTTTAAAATCTACATACATATAGAAAGATCCATAGCAGACCTATGGTGATTTATTGATCTCCGATTTATTTTGGAGGGTACCCCGAGATAGCAATACTAATACTATTATGAAAGACTCGCGAGATAACGGTTTTAACATCTCTAATTTTGCATTGCAAACCCACGATTACTATTGAAAATATATACACAAGATTAATGGTCCATGTTTACGAGATGGAAAATTTTGTGTAATTGAATAGGCCCAAAGCAATTAGAGGGCCCAATCCAAATCCATTAGTAAAGAGTTTTACATACCCGGCCCATTTAAGTAAAGGACACACTGTGTGCACGATATTACTAGTCGCAGGTGATAATCTAGCGGCAAAGGCACTCCCCAGACCCCAGTCTCCAGTGCTCACTGTATATAAAGGCCTTGACAGTGCCCGTAAGTCAAAATTTCGCGAATTTCACCTTCCACATTTTAATTTCCCTCTTCTCTCTACTTTTTAAATACAGTACGCGCCAGATACAAAAACATTTGTCTCTGATTCGAAACCCTAGTTTTCCCGAGAAAAGGAAGATAAGAAACAGGAGAGAATGCCTCGAGAAATCATCACACTGCAGGTAGGACAATGCGGGAACCAGATCGGAATGGAATTCTGGAAGCAGCTCTGCCTCGAGCATGGTATCAGCAAAGATGGCATTCTCGAGGATTTCGCTACTCAGGTCCATCACTTTCCACTTTCTCATATGTATTTTTTTTCTGCTTATTTGCTGAGAAATTTGATAGCTAGAAGGTATACTAGTCTCTATTGCTGAGCGGGTACAGTTTTCTTAAAGCAGCTGAATGGCTGCGCCATTAGGTTAGGACGCTAATTTGCGGTTCCTAAGAATTCTATGTAATGGGTTTTGCTTCTAGTGGTGGTTTTCTGCTATGCGTTTAGTAAGTACTGATACAAATATGTATCTAGGTTAATTTTGGTACTTTTTATAGTTTGAAACTACTTGTATTGTCATTTATTCCGTTTGTCTATAAATTATATTCGTTTATCTGTCCACGGAGGATGTTTTACTGGGAAACAAAGTGGTTGAGGGAATTCAGGTAACCTTCTCATTTAGCTGGAAGTCATTTGTTGAATTGAGTGGGATTGTACAGTTTGGTCTGCAGTTATAAATGGCTCATTTTAAAGCTTTATTAATAAGATTTTTTTTGGGCAATTGTGAGATTGATATAATGAAGCAGATCTTGTTTTAAATGTTTGGAGAATTGTTGGATATCGCATGTGTGTCAGTATTTCTTTTAGTGGTGCTATAGGTAGTTGGAAACTTTGCAATCTTGTTCAGCTATTTGACAGCAAAAATTTTGGTAAGCATTACTCTATGTGGTGCTATTAACCTAGGATTTTTCTTAATCATTTTCTTTAATCTATGGTGCTTTAGGGAGGTGACAGGAAAGATGTGTTTTTCTATCAAGCTGATGATCAACATTACATACCACGAGCTTTACTAATAGATTTAGAGCCCAGGGTAATCAATGGTATACAAAACAGTGAATACCGAAATCTATACAATCATGAGAACATCTTTGTTTCAGATCACGGTGGTGGTGCTGGAAATAACTGGGCAAGTGGATATCATCAGGTTTGTTGCTTGGTTTCCCTATTCTATGAATATCTCCATATTATTTGTGGTTGTCCAGAGTCAAAGGTTTTGGTTTCCCTAAAGGTCAATGTTGAGGTGCTACTATCATTGACGAAGTTTTGTTCATCATATGGGATTTTCTTTGTTCGTTGGTGATCAGGGGAAGGGAGTCGAAGAGGATATAATGGACATGATTGATAGAGAAGCTGATGGAAGTGATAGCCTTGAGGGTTTTGTTCTGTGCCATTCAATTGCTGGAGGAACAGGCTCAGGTTCACTGGATTTTTTTTTTTTTTTCTCTTTCTTATTAGGGTTTTGAAATCCACTGCATACACTTTAGTGGCCACATGATTTTCATGCAATTAGTACCATTTAAGCAATGGAATTCAAACATATGTTTTTGCTGTCTTTCTAATGTGTTGTTAAGTGCTCTCTCTCTTTTATGATGAAGGTATGGGTTCATATCTGTTGGAAACTCTGAATGATCGCTACAGCAAAAAGTTGGTTCAGACATATAGCGTATTTCCTAACCAAATGGAGACAAGTGATGTGGTGGTCCAGCCCTACAACTCACTTTTAACGCTCAAGAGACTGACATTAAATGCTGATTGTGTCGTTGTTCTTGACAACACTGCACTGAATAGAATTGCTGTTGAACGGCTACATCTGTCAAATCCTACATTTGCTCAAACTAACTCTTTGGTCTCTACTGTTATGTCTGCAAGCACAACAACATTGCGGTATCCTGGATATATGAACAATGACCTGGTTGGTCTTCTCGCCTCTTTAATTCCAACACCAAGATGCCATTTTCTTATGACAGGATATACACCACTCACAGTTGAGCGCCAGGTAAGATTCTGACCTGATATTGTTTTCTTAATACCTTTTTTTTATGATCTTATTTTGGGTCATTCATATTTTCATGATTCGTTATGTAATTAATGCAAAGTCTTGATTGGCCAATATTTAGAATCTCTGAACTCATGAATTTTCGGGGCACTGAAGCCGAGTTCTACATAATGAAACAGTTCGTTAGATCTCATGATATTGCTTATGTTCTTTCAATATCTGTTGTTTGTATATTATGCTGATAATGTGGAAGTCTAATTAAAATGTCTTGGCAGGCTAATGTGATTCGTAAAACTACTGTGCTGGATGTTATGAGGAGACTTCTGCAGGTGAGAAATTTCACATGTAAATGCATCCAATGGGGACTGTTAAGCATTTTCTTTATTCTGGTACTTTCTGCAGACGAAGAACATTATGGTGTCCTCTTATGCGCGAACAAAAGAAGCCAGTCAAGCAAAGTACATTTCCATATTGAATATCATTCAAGGAGAAGTGGACCCTACTCAGGTAAGAATATTACACTGTTCATGAGCTTTTTAGTGCAATGTTTTCATCGACAGGCAAGTTCCTTATTAAACGATGATTATGTTTTCTAGTAATTAGGAATGCGTTTTATAAGGAGGTTTTATCTGTATTTGTGGTTCAGTAACTCCTATTGCCACTTTCATCTATCCATTTTACATGTGACAGTAACCTTCAATAACTTTTTCACAAAATGGATAAAGTTTTGGGCCTGCGCCAACTTCCTTTTCAAATTGTTGTGTTTAAACCAGGTGTTTTGGTTATTAACTGACAAATTTTATTTGTTTCTGGATTTTCTCTATGCACTATTGGAGATGCTTGACTGTTACTATTTAAGATCTATCCTTCCCAACATTTGACTTGTTAGCTTATTGCATATTGGGCAGAACTTGTGTAAGTAGTAAGATAACCTGTTTCTTATTCTAGCTTTAGGTAAATGTTTTTAGCTTATTTAGGTTTCATTTGTCTTTCCTAATGCGTCTTGCTTCTTACATGTTGCTTTTTGAAGATTATTGAAAGGCCGGCTGCATTATTTCTTATATTTGGAAATTCATGTGTGGAAGTAATATATCTATGTTTCTCATAAACAATTTCAGAATTGTTGTTTTGCCTACTTTTTTATCAGGTTCATGAAAGCTTGCAAAGGATTCGTGAAAGAAAGCTTGTGAACTTCATTGAGTGGGGCCCTGCTAGTATACAGGTTCTTCTTAACAATGATAATAATAATATTTTCAGCATTCTGTCTTCCAATATCTGATTCAATTTATGTTTCTTGTTTTTTGGTAGGTTGCTCTGTCAAGAAAGTCTCCATATGTCCAAACCGCCCACAGAGTATTACACTATTTCTTGTCTTGTCTTTACTTGATCTCATATGTTCATTTTGATATATGGTTCTTTAAAATTTTTGAAAGAGCATAAAGTTTTTTAGCACATGTTATTTGAATTTTGTGAGGATTTGTAAGATAGTTTGCTTTGTTTATCGGAATGATAGTTCAAATGTTGAGGAACAGTAAACTTATGCATGCTGCATTTATAGGTAAGTGGTCTCATGCTAGCAAGCCATACTAGCATCCGGCACCTATTCAGCAAATGTTTGAGCCAATATGAGAAGCTTAGAAAGAAACAAGCTTTTCTTGATAATTACCGGAAATTCCCAATGTTCGCTGTAAGTTACCTACACTATGGCTGTCGTGCATTTCAAGTCCTGTTATCTGTTTATGGATTCTGGCATACCTTTTAAGAGTAATTGCTGCAGTGCCCTCATTATCTGATGCGATGTAAAATGTGATCAGGACAATGATCTTTCTGAATTCGATGAATCAAGGGACATAATTGAGAGTTTGGTTGATGAATATAAAGCCTGTGAATCTCCAGATTATATCAAATGGGGAATGGAGGTATAAACTCTGCTGGTCCTTTCTTCTCTTATTTCATATCTTGCTAAATGCTGAGAACTAGATGCTCTAACGCAGGATCCTGACCACGTTCTAACTGGAGAAGGCAATGCTACAGGAACTGTGGATCCAAATTTAGCAGTTTGAACATAGTAAGTTAAAGACTATGTTTCTGTGGACTTGCTTGGGCTATTATTTGCTATGTGTTCTCATGAGCAAAACTAGTTAAATTATACAAAATACATATTGGCATTTAATTCACTTGGATTGGGGGCTGCTTCTGTTGATATGGAAAGACTTACTAAAGCATATATTGCAATTTGTAACTTCCAATAACATAACTCATAAATTATAGAGTAATTTTTATGAATAGCAAGAGTATGCAAACTCATAGCAAGGTTTTCTAGCATCTTGTCCGTTTGATTTACTCTAATAGTTGTTTTTTGCTTTGTTCATTTTCCCTTCCTGCAGATATGTAACTTGCTTTGAAGATTCCCAATTACAGGAAGTAATGGTGCTAAATGCACACTGGAGGACTGGCTGTAAATAAATGTAGACAGATTGACATCAGAATTCTTCCTGTTTCGCGGGAAGCTTGATGGTTTGTGGTGTGCTAATTTTTTGGCTGTTTGATTTTGTTAAGCTTCTTCCTCTAAATCTTCATTGGCAAAATGGAGATTCAGAATCCCACTGTATCAAGTTTCACGGAGTTTAATGTTTGATTGGCATCTGATAGGGAATACAAGCAATACTTGTCACCAAACTATTGCTTGGATCTCGTAGGGTCTAGAGGGTATTTGTATCTTTTGTGGGGGGGGGGGGGGATCTTTTGTGGGGGGGGGGGAATGCTAAAATATCTTATTAATTAATCATCATTCACATTGTATCTTGCAACATAACCATGTGCACAATGCTACGTTGGTCCCATAACGTGCTTAGGCTGCCGAATGGTCCAACAGTGTTTTTTGGCAAAGGTAAGTGCCTATCATGTCCACACAATTTTTGCTTAAACAAGCGTGATTGGTTTCCCGTGCTGCTGAGTGCTTTGTGGTGTAGTGTAGAGTCACAGGGGGGGGGGGGGGGGGTAAATGAATAAAATTATTCTTATAATTTATTACATCATTTCACCTTGTATCTTGCAACATAACATGTGCAGCATGATACGTGGTCCCATATGTGCTAGGCTGCGAATGGTCTAACAGTGTTTTTTGGCAAAGGTAGTGACTATCATGTCCACATTTTTGCTTAAACATGATGTGATGGTTTACCCGTGCTGCTGAGTGGCTTTGTGGTGGTAGTGTACGAGTCCACAGATATTATGGAATACATTCTGTCGAATGGTTTTTGTGCTTCTCACTTTGCGCGTACATTGCTTGAGACGTTAAAGATAATCCAAAGTGATTAGTTTCATGTACCTGTTAACGCATTGCAAATTTTGAATTTCGTTTGAGAAGAGGGTTGGGACTTTTAAGGGTAGGGTAAAGTTATTGGGTTGTTTGAGAAGAGGGTTTGAAAGACTGATAGGTATTTTTATGTTTATTTGTTAAAAGTCTAAAATTACTCTTTTTCTATTCCTGCTCGATAAATTTTTTATCTCTCCACACTGCATCCCAGTAGACATCAAAGAGCCTTTGACTACAGAACCGGGTGAGTTTGATGAAATCATAGGATCCCTTGCATCAATGTCACATTGAGCCGATGGAATATTTTTTTAAACCCAGCTGGCATCCTTTTTGGACTGACCTTTCTGCGCAATTATTAATAAACTATATTTTATACCAAATAAAAATGTAGTACTATAATTTAATATCATGAATCATTTATTAAATATGTTAGGTAGTTATTTTCTCTTCTATTCGCTTTGGCCTAGTTGGAAACCATCCAAATGGTTTGCCACGAATTGGGGTTTCTACTTTCTATTATTAGAGCAGGCCAACGTTTACCAAATATGTTTTTCATTTTCTTTCAGAAAGAGAAAACTTAAAAACCAATTATTTTATTTACAAAATTATTATGTTAATCCATTATTTTAGAATGTTGGGTTGTCATAGGTTGTCTTTCTGTCAAGCTCACTTCGCATCTTTTCGTTGGTATAGCACCAATTCGTCATTAACAATTGTTTAGAGCAAACTCATTCCTATTGTTATAAAATTGATTTTTTTTTCCTTTTTTGAATCGTTATAAAATTGATAGTTAACTTGATAATTTTTAAAAATGTCTTGAACTAAATAAATTTGTATTAGAGAGGTTTAAATCATCGAAATTTGCATATTAGGTATGTCAAATTTAAACAGCAACACAAACAAAAAAATCAACCTCGATAATAATCGTCAAACCATGATAACCTTCTGAAACTTGAATTTGAAAATTCGTTGCGGATCTCCTTCCATTCCATTTCAAAATATTACAAAAGTGATGAAATTAGCCGTTAAGTCCGTTACAAGAGAGAGAGAGAATAGATTAGTAGGTAAGAAAGAGGAACTAATGAGTCAGCGACAACTATGCTGACAGCCTGTAACCAAAAGAATTAAAAAGATCGACCACATGGCATTGCCATAAAAGAAATTGACTCAGAAAAAATTAAAAAATTTTAAATTCCTAAAATGTCCCATAATGCATTGTTGTTGTTTCGGCATAATATAAGGAAGAAAATCTAAAGTGGACCCCACACCAAACACAGTAGAATTGTAATTACCTAACGGAACTAGTAAACAAACAAAACAAACAAACGTCTCAAATCTTTGATTAGTATTTACCCATCGTGATCTGCTGGATTTCTCCCCATCGCAAACTTCTTCTGTTTATTTAAATTCTCCCTCTCCTTCTTTCTTCAGCTTCCTCAACAAGATCTCTTTCTTTCTCTCGCTTCTATCTCTTTCTCCACGACTCACATACATTGTTGTCTTTCTCCTTGTACCCCATCGCCTTCAACTTTATAAACAAAAAGTAAACAATATTATGGCAATGTCTGGTTCATCAAGGTCTTTCGCTGGAGTTTTGCTCGCTTTCACTCTCATTTTCGTTATTTTCTCGCCCTCTGTTCAGGCCCAGGCTCCTGCTCCTGCTCCTGCCAGCGATGGTAAGCTTACTCGTTTTTGCTTTAGCTCTTGCTTTATATATTTGCTTCTTTAGATCTCTTTCTGCTTTTCTATTCTATTTTTCCTTTCACTTTCTCTGTATTTGGTTTCATAGATCTGAAATCCTGAAAGCCATTTTCGTTTTCGTTTCAGTTTAATGGCATTCTTCTCCTCTTCTGCCTCTTCATTTCTGATCCTGTAATGTAATATAGATGTAATTGATTATAAATTGTATGTTACAGGAACTTCTATCGATCAAGGAATTGCATACGTGTTGATGCTGGTGGCTTTGGTTCTCACATACCTCATTCATCCACTGGATGCTTCCTCCTCTTACGGTTTCTTTTGAATTTGCTTGCACTGTAGGACTTTAGAAAGATGGATTTGATTATTTTTAATAGTACTGTAATTAATATGAGTGTCGAACGGGAATCTGTTGTCTGCTGTGGATAATTGGCATTTATTTTCAAGGATTGGATTGTCATGTTGTGGTTGATTACTCATTACTTGTAGTTTTTATTTCTGTTTCCTGCTCATTTTTCCAATCCTTATGAATGGTCACTAAGTTTGGGTTCCAATTTTCCTTTTTTTTATTTTTTTTATAGCTGTAGTTTGGTGTCTTTGAGTTATGCAAATGCAACTAGCTTCTTTTAGAGAGTTGATGAAGTCATGAAGAGGGAATTGCTTGATTGTTGATAAGGATCTAGCTTCATTTTTCACTTTTTTGCGGGAACTACAAATTTTCAGCAGAATAATGCCATGTGATGCGCCAGCTTTTGTGGTGAGGAGAGGCTGATGCGAAAATAAAGATCAAAGGAGGGAAAAAACAAATCTAAATTATCAATTTTTTTTTTTGGGTGAATGTGGAACTGACCACTGCATTGTTCAAAGTGATTTCCGGATCTTAAGTCACTTTCCTTTGGAATATGACATTTCTCAGCAAGCCTAGCCCAAATAAAAAAAAAAATAAAAAAGAAAAACGAGCGTGGGTAATCTCACTGCCCAATTTGCTCTAATTTATTTCCTGGACCAAGATTACTCCTAGCTTTCCTTCATCTCGACTCGGTTACTTCGGAATTTTCCTCTTTGAAGTGAATTACGTCATGGTTCGAAAGTTGTTCAAAAAGAAAAATTAGGAGAAATCTGATTTTGAAAATATTGGCATCTTGAGGGTGAAACAAGAACATAACAAATTTTACAGCCTAAAAAATTACGACATTTAAAAAAAAATAATAAAAAATCTATTTTGAACGATATAAAAGCTGCATTGCAAATTATAACTTCAAAATGGGCAGAAAAGAAAGAGGAAAAAATCATGACACCTCTGGGTAAGACGGAAAGAATTTGAATTATGAAAGAAACATTAAAAAAGGGGATTTGTTATTTGTCGAAATATTTACAATTTCACAGATAATGCCTTTAACCAAATTCACCAGAATGGCAGGAACATCACCACCATTCTTATGCCTTTTTGACAAACAGAATGAAATCAGAAATATATCTCTTTTAATTAGTAGCACGGTGGTGTTGATGATGATGTAGCGTATATTTGACAACTTCATAAAAGGAAACAACTATTCCAACAGAAGGGCCGGCACGAGCCACACGGGGACCTATTCCTGCAAACAATCCTTTCATCCCCCCACCCCTGTTCCACATGGAAGTTAGTCCAAAGAGAAACAAACAGTTGGCAAAATAAAGAAGAAGAGTTAAGAGCTTTCCTAATTTGGCTTTTGAATGTATCAGTCCATGAACTAGCACGACAAATCAGGCAACCACAAGTCATTGACACTTGCATATATGATAACAATATGGCCCTCAATTTCAAATACATAAACAGTTATCTTCAATGTATTCTATTCACGTGTATGAATGAAACTTTTAAGATGTTCGTTGAGTTCTATTCACATAAAAAGTATAATTATTGGCAGAGAAACGTTTCAAGATTGACTACTGTAAATATCCACAGACAGCTAACTCACAATTTTATATATAATTTCTTAGCATTATAAGATAAAAAGAGAGGGGAAAGAAAAATAACCGGTATGGAGAAAAACAAGATGGGTTTCTCTTTTTTTTTTTTTTGAGCCAAATGTAAAGTAACCGGCATGCCACATATGCGAAAAATATTTAATTGAAACTTTTTTTGTCCGTTAGACATTTGATTGAAAAATTTTTCTGTTTAGACACCAAAATAGCAAAAATCGAAAAGTTTAGACACCAATAATGTAACGAACCCGAAAAAAAAAAAGATGTATTCCATAGAAGATGAAGAAGTATAGAATATAACATACCTCCAGATTTCCAGCAATGTTTGTCTTGTAGTCATCTTTAATGCCCTCGTAGGATCCTTCTATTTGTACAAACAGAATAAATGGTAAATCATAACGGTAACAACCTAAAAGTTTAACTCAGGCAACTAAATAATATTTGGAAATCAATCCATGCTTTATATGATCCAGAGTTCCTTTCACTTTTTTCCTTAATTTTTTCCCCAATTTCTCAATTTTATCCAAAAGACACAACTTTTATCATTTTTTCTGTCAGAAGTACTAAATTGAAGCCCATGCCACTGCAACTCATTCTAAATATATGCTGAATCATCTATTACAACAACCAAATATTGGATTATCAACTTAAGAGTTTTAACTGCGAAGAATTTTTATTATTTTCTCCATTTATAAGCAGATAAGATCGAATATCAGAATAACTAAGATTTCAAGAACCCATATCTATATTGGTAGTTCTGATCAAAACACACGCCCCTCCTCCTCTAATTATCCTTCTTATTCTTATGTATCTACGTAATATGTTCATGTTGTAATTTTCGTCTTTTAATTTATTTTAAACTTCTATTAGCAGGAAAGGCAGGTCATAAACATCTGCACTAAAATTTAGGGCATTTTAGAGTACTACCTCTATCTGCCTTCTGGTCCTTGCAACATCTAATGGACATGTAACAGCAGCTGCAAGACTTCCTGCAAAAAAACCAGCAGAAAAGTTTGCCCCAAGGACACTGGCTGCTGTGGCTTCATCATCCATAAGAGCAAGAATTCCTCTCCTGATCTGCAGAAAGTGTACAAAAGAAAGCATCATCAAATTCACTGTGTTTTGAAAATAAAGGTCTATTTTTCAGAGAATGTAAACCCACAGGCTCTAGGGTTGACCAGCAGATTGCAGAGAATGGAACATCTCGAGCAAGTTGTGCACCAAGGCCAGTCCATAAAATGCGATAATTTTGCACTGTCATTAATAACATATCAGTAGCAATTCATGCATGGAGGAAATTAAAGAAGTATACAAAAAAATAATTCTTCTCTGTCAATTACAATGCCAAGCCAGTACCCAAATCAGAATTAAAAGAGAGGTCAATCACACCAATCAGGTAACTTACACTTTTGAAGGTTGTTTTTGCTCTTAACTGGGTTGATCACCTCAATTAGTGTCTTCCAGACTCCTGGGGGCCTCATAGCATTCTGTGTTTCTTTAAAAGCCTATTAAGAGGATACTAAAATGAGAAGAAGTTTGAAAAGAAACTAATTCTCCAAAACATATATCTCTCTCGATGCATGTAGCAAAGAAATAGCTGAAAAGACTTCATAATGCAGGAAGCCAATCAACAGAGACCAGTCTAATAAAACTTGGATACACTGCAATTTAAATAAATGCATATAACTTCTCAGGATCAACCTTCAGTAGACTAGGATTAGTTGATTATTGTAACTCTATAGAATTTAAGCCATCTCTCAATGCTGCTAATAGCAAAATTGTATGATACAGTCCTCAAAAAACCATCTATTTTAAAATAAAAAATACCCTCTAACCACATTCATATCAGAAAGTGCATCCTCAAGTTATCTTAGTGAGACCAAATTCATTTGAAAACTACAGCATATACCACATGTATAAATAATGAGAGTCACCTTTTGCAGCAGAGGAAGGTTTTTTACATGGCAAAACACACTAAGATAAAGTGTTTAGGACCAACTTGCTAAAAAATGACACTAATAAGGATCCAAACAACAAATCCAATACCTGCATACGAGTCCTTGCCAACTCCACAGGGTAACAAGTGACACAAGCTAATGATCGCGCAACTGATCCTGCAACTAATGGCACATATGGTGTCAAAACGGGAGCATTCCGAGTTGTAAAATCTTCCATTAAATCCCGGAAAATGTCATAACAAGACAAGTAGATCCCCACCTGGTTGACAATAAGGAACAAACATAAGCAAAAAATATAAAAGATGTTAACTACCTTGCAATGCTAATAGGCATCCACTCTTTCATGAGAACAAACCACAATTGCAAAAAAGAAAATAATTTTTTTAACCACAAACAAAAAGGAACATAATTTTTTAACAGACTTACAGTTGGCACAGCCAATGCTAAGCTTGCATTTGTGCCTCTCCAGAGTCTTCCAAATCCTTCCTGCACAAATTCACCACTGTAAAGCCTTTGAATAAGTATACAAACACCACAATTGAACAATATCAGAAAAAATGCAGCATCCACGCTAAAAGCCTACTATCATGGCAACAAATAAGTTTAATGCTTGCAGTGGAATGGCCTAAATGAACTCATTTTAAATACAAAAATTTATCTGCAAAAGTATGTTTCTGAACTTAAATCTATGTTTATTTTGTAATATATTAATAATGTGTTACAAACAACTTGGCTCAGCATTGACACTTTTGTCGTTGCATTCTAAACAATCATACCCATTAATATAAAAAAATAAAGAATTGAACTATAAGAAATTAATAAGAAAAAAAAAATCCTACAAATCATATGCTCCTTGATATAACAATACATATTCAAAAGGATGAGAAAAATGTAGAAGTGTACACTTCTCCACTCAATTAGCACGAGGCACTTTACTAGAAGGTTTCTCCTCAGAACATAGGCGAGCATTATAATTTGAGATATCCATTAATTAGAAAAAAGCAGTTTGTTTAGCTTCAGTAAATCCACCAACCTGGCGAGTAACTTTATAGAAGACATCCATTGTTCCCTTATACCTGTTGCACTCTGAAGTACACATTGGTTCGGAACCAGAGACCACATGTTTCAGATCTGACAGGATCTGGGTTAAAACCCAAAAGCAACAGCAGTCAGAATGAAATAAAAGCGCTGCATTGAGAAAGATCATATCATACAAAAGATTCTTCAAGTTCCTTTCTTTCTTCATAAAAATGCAGATAACAATCAGTCCTGTGTCACTAATTTTACTAGCAGTAGGCGTACCATATCTGTCCGCGAACATTCTGTTCCACATAATCCCTGATTAGGAACTCCAGCAGCCTGTGCTTGCAACCTTGTCTGCAGGTAGGGCAATGGAAGTGTAGAGATTTCATTACTTACAGCTATTACAAATGACTCAACATTAACAACACTCGTTATATAAACTAATAAAGGCTTGCAAAGTTTTGACAAATTTCAAATAGAAGTTAAGGCAGCCTTCAGGCTAACTATGACATCTAAGTATAAAAAGCATATGCTCAGATAGCAGATGCTCGACAAATATAATTGAGGCCATTTTAATTCTAAAGCATTTTCATTTCCTTTCTACAAAGGAAATGTCAGAACGAGACAACAAGCAAGAAAACAGGAATAACGCATGCAAGGCATCTTGAAAAGTAAAATACAAATTGAATAAAGATTGAAAGTTGAAAGAAAATTTCGAGCAAGTTATAACATTACCTTGGCGACATCTAAAGGGTTAACAATAATGGCGGAGACAAAAGCGGCACCAGCCGCAGACAAGGCTCTCTCCGCAAAACCTAAATTGGCATCCGGTGACACCGTTTTGGAGTCATCCCTATTATTAGCATCTTTAGAAGTAAACATGGTCTCTGAAACAGAAGAAACGTTCCCATCAATATCGACTCTGGATGCCGCCGCGGCGCTTATCCAAGAAGGCAGGCTCTGCCTCGACCCTCCCACCATTTATCAGTATTATATACAAATTTCGAATTCTCTTCGTCTTAATGTAAGACCTCATCCGATTATTTATTTATGGGATTACCAAGAAGGCAATCCATCATTCAATTTGCGACCTAAGAGGCCAAGTTTGACACTGCTACTATCTTTTCCTTTTTTGGTTATAGAATTGAGATTGTTTCCAGAAGAAGAAAAGGCATAGAAGGGCGTTGGGGTTGTTTTGGTTGAGTTAGTTTCTAGAGGTTTCTAATTTGCATGGGAAATAGGGCTCTACAAGAAGGGAGGGAGATGATTCGTGGCGTGGAAATAAGGGCGCCAAACGGGAGGTTCTCTGTTCTTCCTATTAGCTTGAGGTGTATACCTCTCGTACACGTAAGAGAGAGAGAGAGAGAGATAGAGAGACATCCAGAGCTAAAAAAAAAATGGTGGACTTGGACCAATTGGTTTGAACTTGCAGGCAAAGAACAGGGACAAGACAACCTTCTAAGGTTGGGCTAGTATTGGGTTTCTGAGAGTAAAATTTTCAATATTGGGCCTACGTTGGGCCTTTATTGACACTATTCCATTTACGCTAGTATTTTAGTAATTTTAGTTTTAATCACTTTTCTTTTTCTGTATCCTGGTCGGTGATTTATATCTTTACCGAGTGTTTGGTTAGCTAGAAAATGTAAGAAAAGGAAAATATATGTTATTTTAATTTACAGTGATTAGCCAATAAATATAGGCGATGATGTCAATCACATCAAGACGCAAGTTTTAAATTTTTAATAAAATCTTAACCGCTGATCATTTTGAGTTAATGGATTAGTGGGTGAGATTGCAGAAAACATAGCAAATCATGTCTATTACAATTGAAGATGAAAATTTAACATTCTTGAACGAGATTCAATATTAATGCACAAAAGAATCTGAAACTGTATAGGAAGCTCCTCAAGAAACACTTAGCAATGAGAATGAAGCAATCAATCAATTAACATACATATATTCAACAGAAAACTTTATATTACCAGATCACCCTCTTCCATAAAAGACATCCAGAGGACTAGTTGAAAGGGAAGGTATAACTACTGTTGATGATTTTTCCACAAAAGAAACAACTTTCCTTTGAGGATTACTGCAATATTGTTGCTTTGCATGACAAAGCCTAACCGTAGATGAAATGCTTGCTGAAATTACAGCCAATTTCACAGCCACCATAAATGCCTTATTCTGCCATTTCCATGGCTCGAACAACATTCTAATACAACAAATGATGAACTGGCCGGTTCTCCTCCTCTTCAGTTTATTATTATTGTTCACCTTAGAATCTTCAACTGCCTTGTTCTTTATCTTGCCATTCAATCTCCAGTCAAAAGCATTCAGCTCTTTAATTGCATCGTCCGATCTTCCTTTATATTCTTTCACTTTTTCTCTAAGAATTGTTCTGCTTTCTTCTAAGCGATTAAACGCTGCATGCCTATCGATTAGCTGCCAAGATCTTAATCGCTGCACAATTAAAGATCAATATATCTTTATTAACACAATGTGGATGCGTTGGAATCCAACAAATTAACATAACTGTTGCAATTTCAGAATCCAGAAAGTAAGAATTATAGGCAGCTCCAGATGCAAAATCAAAAATCTAATCTAATTGACAGAAAAGAGAAGAAAGCGAGAGAGAGAAAGTAATTAATGATGTAAGTGTACCTGTAAGAAGACAAGCAGGTCACGAACTTGCTTTAGTGAATCTCTAATGGAAATCAATTTGTCTCTGTCCTCAAATGATGTATCTGCAAAATCACCGAAACGGCCATTTTGCGCACACAAATTGCATAAGCTGTTACTGTTTTTGATTTCGCGAGAAAGGCCATCAAGTAAAGCCGACGCTCGATCAATGAGAGACTGGAGGTCCCCCTTCAACTCCATCAAAAACTACACCAATCCAAAATTCATTTCAACTTTTCAGAGTTTGTCAGTTGTTCCCATTTTTTTGGCCATGGAATGGAATTTGTAGTTGGTGTATATGGTAATGGAATGGAGGGGTAGGGCTCTTTCTATTTGATGGATTGCATGTGGTAGTTCACCAAAACAAATCATTTTCTCCGTCTTCCTTCCTCTTTTTATTTCTAAAATTTTGTGTGGGGTTTGCTTTGAAGGGAAGTTGTGCTAAAAGCCTTGGCTGTTCATGTATTGTTTACAACCCCACACATCCCCTTTCTCACATGCATCGTGTATGTCAAGGCATGTCTTCACCATTACAAGGTTTCCACTTTCCTCTCCATTTCTTAATCTAATTTTATGAAAATTAAAAATAAAATGACTAACTACATAATAAACTCAAATTTTCTCAGCTTTTTTTTTTTTTTTTTAATTTGGCTTTAACAACAATTTCAACTCGAAGCACTGTTGATTTGGAGCATGTGAAACGCAGAGACAGAGAGAATCGCTTTAATCTTAGTTGAGAATGTTACATACAGCCTTATTACATGAAGCGGAGCGACTTTTTGCATGAATTTGATTTATGAGGCATGTTGGTTAGGTCAGAGGTGGTGTTTCAAGTTTCAACTAACTGACCCAACCGCCTGGGCTCCCGGCCCTCTGTCCTTCAACTTGAACACCCATTATCAGAAAGAAGGACAATAATCAAATAAATCTGTTATGGTGTTATTATTATAATGCACAGTGATTGACTCTTTGATACGCAAACAGAACAACAAAAAGCCGGATCCCATTTTAAGCTAGGACAAAGCATTTTTAAAGCAGTTGGATTTATTCGGTACTGACCATGCTCAATTCAGTTACTATCCTAAATTTTGACCCCAAACACACACAGTACTAACCAGGTTGGCACCTGAGTGGGGCAAGGACCCACGAATCAGATCTGAACAAGACAATTTTAAAAGCATAGAAGAGAAGAAATGCACCAGATTCATCACCCTCAACCTCACTGTCTTATCATCAAAATTTTCTTCACTCCCACTGTGTCGGTAGGTGAAGTGAAGCTTATTCATGGGTCTCCCGTCTTTGGTTTACTAATTGGAGACATCCAAATTTTTTCACACGATCTCAATGATGCCTTCAATTACTTGTATATTTTCCACGGATAGTAGAGTGAAAGTTAACAGAAAGTTGAATCATCAGAACTGGACTGGACTATATTTTAACTTTGATAAATTCTATATGTAACTGTAAGGATGATTGGCTAAGAGTTAATATCCAATGGTTTATCTTTATTTGTATAAACAAATTTCAGATTACAATAATACAATTCCTGCATAAATTACATTACAATTATTTTAGCTTTTCATTATTAGAAAATAAAAATAAAGATTTTATATATAGAGCACGTGGGTGGATGAAGAAAGGACTAACATCGCCGTAAAGAAAAAGTAGAGCGTGCATAACGGTTAGTGTACTGTACCAAATATCAAATCAAATCAAAACAAATCCTGATTTTCTTTTTTATTTTTTTTTATTTTTTTACCAATCTTTTTTTTTTTTTTTTTTTTTTTTTTTTTTTTACAATCTTTTTTTTTTTTTTTTTTTTTTTTTTTTTTTCTGCGGCTGCGGTTCGCAGTATAATTTTAAATTCCGTGTTGTGATTCATGAATTAAGTATCTCATAGCGATGAATGCTCAATTGGACTTTAACCATAAAATAAAAACAAAGCTGAGCCCTTGAAGATTCAAGTCTACTTCATTAGAAGTATGCTGTCTAGACCCTGCACTAGTAATAATATGAATTTTTTTTTTTTTAAGTAAAATGCATGGATTTACAATTAAGGGTGTATTTCACCAAGTTAGAATATTTGATAGACACTGCTACAAAGGAAGACAAAAAAAAAAAAAAAAAAAAAAAAAAAAAAAACAAAAAAAAAAAAAAAAAAAAAAAAAAAAAAGAAATGGGAAACGAGTTTGGCATTGTTGAAAGCCAAGCCTGTAAAAACATGATGTAGGTCTTTCACAAAGGTTACGGACTACTAGCACATAATTTTACATACTAAAAAAAAAAAAAAAAAAAAAAAAAAAAAAAGAAATGGAAACGGATTTGGCATATGTTGAAAGCCACAGCTGTAACATGATTAGGTCTTTCACAAAGGTACGACTACCTAGCACATAATTTAATACTTATGTAAGACCAAAATATGGGATATGCAATGCAAAATAATATATATATTTATATAAATTAAAAATAAGAAACCATTAAGTTACGCAGAAGAAAGAAGAAACCAAAACGCGTTGCTATTTTTCTTGATAGAGCATCGAGAAAAGCAGAGATGGGGACCAAACACAAAAACAAACACAAACACAGACACTGCAAATACAAAGGAGGGCCTGCCTTTGTCATTGTTTACTATACCCATACATATACATACATTCCAATTGGGGTAAAAAAAAGATTTCAACTTCAATTTATGCAAGTGGGTCTCTGATTTTGAACATCTTTTAGATCTGTTTTCAGGCTTGCAACTTGCAAGTGGCTGACTGTTAATTTTTTTGAAACTTCTCCTTCACAATGCCCCCTCTCTCTATATCTATAATAAAAGCCTGCGGTGACAAAATAATCACCTAACCTAACCTTTTTATAAAATCTTTGACCAATAGGTACAGTAAAAAAGACATATCTGTCTGTCTCAGTCTCTCTCTCTCTCTCTCTTCTGGCCGGAGATTCAAGAAAGCACGCCGGGGTTTCACCTTAAAGGCAAACTGGCATGTCATGTGTTGGAATTTCTAGAAAGGCAAGGCATGGTCTTCCAGTCTAGGCACCCACCACCCTAATAGCCTCCCTTTCCAAGATGTGTTTACTATGTGTAAGACTTTTTATTCTGCGTCTGGTTTCTTGTGCCCAAATATAAACCAAGAAAACAAAAACAAAACATTTCCCATCACAAGAAAAAGCCCCACAGTCGCAAACCCAAGTTTTTGCTTAATGGTCTTTTGACTCTTTCTCCTGTATCCCACTTGCCCAATTTTAGTGGACCAAATCCATTAGTACTCTGTTCGCTTCATTAGTCCAAACCTTCATTAAACCTTAAACCCTCCATTATAATCACTCAAATCTCTCAAACTGAGCTATATACACATCTTTTACACAAGAAACATTAGATAAGGGATTTTACTTAGAGTCCTGGCTTGAAAAAGAATGGCTAACAAAACGCAGAAAGAGCGTATGGTCATCAAGTGCCCAAGGTGGCCAACCGTTGAACATGAATCACTTTTTTAAGCCACTTGGCATAGGCAGGGACCCCCTTTTGAGTCCCCGCGCCATTGCTAGCCAAAAATATCTTATGATAAATCACAAAACCCCTCCATTTCTCTATTTCCTTACACTAGAAAAACAAACAATTCATTTTTATTTCATGAAAAACTTAAATAATGCAATGTGGGCTCTGAAAAATTAAAAAAAATATGGAAAAACAAAGATAAAAAGAAAAAATTATGGCTACACTTACATAAATTAGCATTTGCAAAACTTTGCACACACATCCATCACCTTCCTGGATTAAACTTAAAAAATAAATATTAAAAAAAAAAAAGCAAACGAAAGCAAAGCAAACTATCCAAAACTCCACTCGGAATTTACCAAACACCCAAATTTGCAATCTTTAGCCCCCAAAAATACTGATCTACGTCCCAAAAACGGACCCGAAATCTGGGTCTAAATGAAAAGAAATATCTGCAACATCATCTCTTCTTAAAAGAGTGTCAGGTATACTACATTCATCGAAAAATATTGGAGCATGATGTTCAAATTCTAAAAACTCATCAAAATCCAAACCCAAATTAGCCAAACAATCTTCACCGGCAAGATCTTCCCTTAGCTCTTCGGGTTGTCTCCAATCTTTTACCTGTTTTACCTGATCTGATTCCCAATTCTCGTCATTTGCACCTTCTTCATTGTATTGGAATCTAAGAACAGACGTAGGAGAGCTTAAACTGTGAGTCTCCTCCTTACAAGAATCATACCCATTAGTAATATCAACATCTGGTGGAGGACTTCTCACCGGCGGTTTTATGAAATTGGTCAAAGCATTCGTCCCTTTAATTTGTATAGCAGCTTTATCATAAACCATTGCAGCCTCCTCTGCAGTATCAAAAGTCCCTAACCATATTCTCGTTCGTCGGGATGGGTCTCTAATTTCAGCTGCAAATCTTCCCCATGGTCTTTGTCGAACACCACGGTATTTTTTACCCTCCGGATAATAACGCTGATCTCTGGTATTTTTCCTTTGCTGCTGCTGCTTATTAAAGCCCAATTTTACTTCTCCCTTTTCAGTTGCTCTGTATTTAACACAATCTTCAATTCGAATCTCATTTATGTGTTTCTTAACTCGTTGATGAGTCCTTGATTCCTCATTCTCATCGCTCGACGAGTCAGTTGCATCTCCGTCTGTAACACAAATTCGCACTATTCTCGTGGCGTTTGAGTCATTAAATTTAACAAGCTTATTAGTAACTGTTTTATGCTCGCTGTACTTTACAGACGATGGATTCATCTTCTTCTCTGGTTTTAGGATTTTAGAAATTACCATATGGTTAGAAAAATATTTTAGAGAGGAAGGAGGAGAAATTCGTGGAGTTTTCAGTTGCAGAGAAGAGTCAAAATGGCTAAGAATCGCTCTTTTATAGGGAATCCAAATGGACTAACCTTTTTTATTTTATAAATATTCTTTTTTTTGTCATTATCATATATTTTTTTAATATTTTGTTTGTTCCTTTATTAGATTTTAAAATGTCATTAAGATGGTTAATTGGCTAAATTAGTAAATTTCAAATTAGTCAAAGATCCACATATGACTCGCCTCGCCGCATCTCTTATCAGACGTTCGATTTTCGACACGTGTCATTCTTGGCGAGGTAAAAGTGCTTGATTCTCTGATTCGACTTGGCACCCAAGAAACAACGTCTTTTCCCACGCGCGGTCACGCAAAAATTAAATAACGTTAGTTAACACTTAACCTTTAACATGATAAGAACGTTTGGTCTGGTTAGGCGGTCAGCTTTGTAATCTTATTACTGGCGGTAAGAAATAAAAAAAAATTCTACTGTGCTGTAAGTTTAGCATGTCTCTTGCAAATATACACGTCACGTGTGAGGGGACAGTAACCTTAGGTCATTCGATCACAGACAGGGTAGTGGAATTGTTGACCGTTTTGGCTTTTAAAAAATTCATTGTTATTAGGTTAATCGAATAGTATTAAATTTTGCTTGGGTATCAAGCACCAATTATTAATTCTTCAGATCTTAGCATTGAGCAGACAGTCCAATTATAATGGAATTAAAAAGGGAAAGTCAATAAGCCTGCAACCATTTTCCATTCAAGAACATAGAGATTAGATAATTGGATGTTTTAGATAGTAATTTGTTGGAAAATGAGAATGAGTGTATTTAATAATTTTAGTACAAGGTAGGAGAGTTGTAGTAGGATACCAACAGTAGATTGATGGCTTGGGGAGAAAGCATGGACAGGACATTGGTTTAAATTAAGTAGTAGGTGAGAAGGAAAAGACCTCTTCATATGTTTTTGTCAGTTGTTCATTTCCTTCACGTGACCTTTACTTATTTCTATATATCCATTTTCTTAATTTATTATTTTCTCCTTTTTTTTTTTTTTTTTTTTTTTGTTAGTCTAGATGATGGCTTTGGGGAGGGAAGCATGGACAGGAGCTGATTGGTTTAAATTAAGTAGGGTAGGTTGAGAAGGAAAGGACTCTTCAATATGTTCTTTGTCATTGTTTTCTTTCCTTCACGTTTGACCTTTAGCTTATTTCTAATATATCCATTGTGTTCTTAATTTATTATTTTTCCTTATTTTTTTTTTTTTTTTTTTTTTTTTTTTTTTTTTTTCTGTTTGAAAGTTGCTTGAGCTAATTACCACCTTAACTAATTGCAACAATCCGACGTTGTTTAGTAACCAAGTAACAATCAGAAAGCCTAAATAGAGTTGGGCTGTATTAAGAAGCGTGATGTGGACTATCATAACGAGGTGAGGTGTGTAATTTTAAGTGTTAAACATCGAATAAACTTGGGCTAGAAAGAGACTCTGAAATCTTTGCTTATAAACTTACGTGTTATCCTCTCCTGAAGGGCCTTTACTATATTGCTTTTTTTTTTTTTTTTTTTTTTTTTCATGTTGAAGTTGCTTGAGCTAATTACACACCTTTAACTAATTGCAAACAAATCCGACCGTGTAGTAACAGTAACAATCAGAAAGCCTAAAATAGAGTTGGGCTGTATAAGAAAAGCTATGTGACTATCATACGGGTGAGTAGTGTAATTAAGTGAAAACATCATAAATTGGCTAGAAAGAGACTTGAAATCTTTGCTATAAATACTGTCCTCCTTATCTAAGCTTACTATGCTTTAATGCTTAGCCTACCATCTTCATTCACAAGCTAATTACCCACGGGTCTATAAACATCATGGTTACTGGACCATGTTATTATTGCTGAAATTTTGAACTACTCACTAATTATTATACATTTTATTAAGAGACCGTCATAAATTTTTGCCAGTTGTAACTACAATTTTAAGATAGAAAAAAAAGAAGAAGAAGAAGAAAAGATTAAGCATGAAGTGAAACAATAAATTGAAACATTATCAGATTATACAGTCAAAAACCAAGCCTGAATGCAATATCGTGCACAGATCAAATATGTTATGTTACATTACCAAAGGAAGTTAGAATCTCCAGGGTTCAATACATATTATATAATGGATTAAATGGTACCATTAAATATCAACTACAGATCTTTTCACAGTTCAAGATAAGCTTACGCAACACAACCTAAATTATCTTTTTGTTTTTTTTCAAGGATGCAATGTGTAAATCGACTCTTCATTTGTTCATAACAGAGAGCATTAGACATGGGAAAACACACATCATTTGTACACAACAATGATTGACATCTAAATCTCCCAACCATAGACTGAGCTATCCCATGGCATACTTCTGTGTCCAGCTCCTAGCAGTTGCCTCGTACTTGGCCCTGTCTGTCTTGTACATGTGAGCAATTTCTGGCACCAAGGGATCATCTGGGTTTGGGTCCGTCAAGAGGGAACATATGGAGAGCAACACCTGAAGAACAAAACAAAAACCCTTCCCACCAACTTAAAAAACAGCGATGGAAAAAAGACTTTCAAACCAAAAATAGACCAGACATTTTTAAAAATGATATATAGCTGATCAAAGAGAAACACCACAGAAATATGGATATTCTCCCATGTAGAATTAATTTTTGGTTTTTTTGGAAGTAAGGCACTTGATTATATTAAGATGCTACATGAGAATTAATTTAAATAGAAGCACACCCATTTTCTGAATCTCTCCCCAGAAACAGTGGATGACTACTTGTGAGATGGTGACCATCCTGATCAAGTTTTTTCAACTAGATGCTTCAAAATTAAATTAGAATCATGTTTCAAGTGCACTAAATTCTCATACATACAACAACTGCATAATGAATACTTGAGACCTACCTGGTTCAAAATTCCATAATATTTAGACATCATGCAAATGCCACTAGTTATAATTTCCTAAGGCCATGCTTATCTTGTTTGACAAAAATTCAAACCCCATTGGAATTAGGCAATTAGGTGGTGAGAAGTTTTTTTGAGGTCTGAACCTTAGATATTGTCAGGGCTGGGCTCCACTGCTCCTTTAGAATGTCAAGGCAAATGCTGCCATTACTGTTAATATTTGGGTGAAAAACCTTTGTCCTGAATGCAACCTGCAAGAAACAGAGGATCAGCTAAATTCTTTTGGTGAAAGACAAATCAAATATTCCTTCTGTCCCATTTTGTTTGCATGGTTTGACAAAACGCGCATATTAAGAATTTAGTCAACAAAAGTTATTTTGTCCATTTTTATACTTAATAACTCATTAAGATATTAATAAAAATCATTTATTTAATGAACAATCATAAAGGTTATCATGGAAATTATAATTTTTTTATATGTATAAATTTGAAAACCTTGAAAACATTTTGGGACATCCAAAAAAGGAATAACAAACAAAAAAAAAAAGGGACAGAGAGAGTATATAACAAGCAGAACTTCACATGCAATGAGTTTAGGCAATCACAAGCTCAACAACTCTGGAAAATAAAAATTTCCTGTCATAACCTCAACCTGTTCTTCACACCAGAAGACCTGATTGTCAAACACTATGTTTGACAACACTCTTTTAATTTGTTTTGGGTATTATCAAATGTATCCTAGTTCGTCAATTACACTAAAGCAAGGCAGCCAACCTTGGAAAGGGGTCCCTTACGGACTAGATTAGTCAATCTGGCCACAGAGAGATGAAATGAGATGAGATTGTCCACAATTTCAAGTCCAAGCATCTAGCTTATGGGGTCAAACATGTGAATTCTAATTGGACAGTTTGATGATGCAACTTGAATGAAGCACAGGTTTGGCCACAACAAAACCTCCAGGATGGGTGTAGAACTGCATAGAGAGAGCCCCCCAGAGAGCATTCGATCTGGTTTAGGTTTTAATACTTGCATGTGTTCTTTTCAGTTTCATGGTGAATATTATTTGATCAGGCATACAGAAGTTGGCAAGAATAAAACGTTGTTGAAAGGATCTCATAAAAGTGCTGGAATTGAAAGCTTCACTTGATTCACCGCCCAAAGCACAACAATATGTTTTTTTTTTTTTTACCCTAGTGTCTTTAGCAGTCAGCGTAATAGGATTTCATGGAAGATGTGAAAACTAATATGTTTCTATGTCAAAATTTGATGCAGATGGATTTTTAGTCCTCTGGCTAGGTTAACTAGTTAAATTTGAAACAAAAAAAACTTATGGATAAGTTGTCAAGGTGACTTAAATTATGTCCTTGATCAAATTTAAAAACTTCTTATCAACTTCCATTATTACCATAGTCTATTGTTCCTCAGCAATCGTTCCAGTTGTTTATTTAAAGTTATTGATGTCCAAATTTTCAGTTGTTTTTCACCGAACTCAACTGCTTGCAGGAGATTCTTCACAAAAAATTTTGGAGGGAGAGGATCTGAATATTCAAAAACATTTCCAGTAACAAAGTCACCTGTGAAGCAACCACATGTCTATGGCAAGAAGGAAAAAAAATGAAAATAAAGACTCGAAAGCATACCTTAGGTGGCTTAAATGGATAATCAGGAGGAAAATGAATAGTAACTAGAAACACGCCTCCAGTGTAAGGACTGTCAGGAGGACCCATTATTGTTGCTTGCCAGTGAAACATGTCCTCAGCTACCGGACCTGTTAAAATAAACGACCAACTATTTCTTAAAGAATGCAGGATATCCATAATATAGCACATCCATATCAGTGTACAATACATGCAAGCCAGGCCTTTCAATTCTAGCAGAAAGGTCATTAGTACTACTACAACTGTAAAGGTGACATATTGAAGTGAAATTTAATGCTAGGTACCACTATAGAAAATTCTGTCGGGCATACCAAATGAGACAATCCCTTTGACAGATTGCTATTTATTGGTTTCATGAAAGCATTAAATTAGTAACGGAATGACAACAACCTCCAGTTGGTAAGAAAACAACTTAGAAACCAGATAAATCATAGACTTCAGTAATAGTTCTAGCACTTATGACATTAAAACGTTCCAAGAGTCCAAAGGAGGCTCGATGAGAGACATCAAAATATATCTTCAGGGCAAAAGATTCTAAATTATTACCAGCCACATCAATAAGGAAAAAGGTATCAGTCCTAACTACTAAAAAAAAATATACTCATTATGTTCCTATAAAGATAAAACGGAGAGGTATAACCACAAACAAAACATAATACTAAAAATGAAAGACAAATGAAAATAGCAGACTACTTAAATATCGACAAACAAACTCATAATCAGCATGAAAATGAACATTGAATTACAAAACTGCAATATCAAGGTACTAGACATTCCGCATTGATCAGAAAACCGATTCATCTGGACAACAACCAAAAATGTTACCCGCATTATCTTTCTTCAACACTTACTGACATGTTATTCACATGTCCGTGTAACTTGAATCACAGTTCACCAGAAGACACTCATTCTCTAACGAATCAGGAAAGCTCAATCCTCTGAATCGCATTAAGAACCATCTACAGACGACACTTATAGCGCCAACCAAGGCCCGCATGTATGTATATACACAGAATCGATAGATAAAAACTAAGAATCCCTCAATGAAAAATAATAATAATAAAAAAACGAATCAATTCTACCAAACAGCCTCACAAAAAAGAAAAAGCATAACTCCAGATATCCAGAAAGAGGGAGAGACATAAAAATCAAAGATCAAAGCCTGATAAAAAATTAATTATCTAACTACCGTGATTTTATTGAAGAGAATATAAAAACGAGCGGATCGTACCAGCGCTGCAAGAGGTAGGAGGATCCTTCTGGAGATCCTTGAGCTCCTTCAAGATCCGCTTGGAAGCCATTGAAAAACCTCGAGGATCGCCTCTGATTGAGAGAGAAAAAGAGAACAAACTTGACAAAAGGTGCAAAGAGGCGAGCAGAGAAAGGTATAAAAGTTTAGAAAGGTCAAAAAATGCGTTGAGTTGAGTGCGTCGATAGAAAAATTAAAAGCGACTTTCCTTGTTTGGGTCCCCTTAAAATGGTTTCCGGTCTGAGAATCTGGTTCTGGACGCGGAGAGAGAGATAGATAGAAAGGGTTTGGCCTCCCTTGTCTATTGGATACAACGTCGTTTTGACGAATGAACCGTCGTATCTGCTTTCCATTTGCATTCGTGTGATGCGCGCGACTTTTAAACAACCGGATTTTTTTTGGTTGACTTTGACTTGACCCTTACTCGCATGGGTCCGATTCGAGAGATGATGGTAACTTGTTCTTTTTAAAACGAATTTTAAAAATAAAAATATCCTTATGAGAGTAGAATTTATGCATATTTCAAGGAGGGAAAAAAAACACGGTAAACATATTTCTTAATTTTTCATAATTGATTGGTGGCCTTGTAAAATTTCACATCATATGAAATTCCATGACATGAATAAGGAATTTTCTTCACAGTTACAGCCATTGAGCATTCCATTGGGACATAAAGTCAATATTGCTATAACAAGAAAATGGAATGATTATCAAAAGAGAAATGAGAAAATTTCAATTCTAGGTCGTATTTATTGCTTAAAACCTTAAAATTCAAGGCTTGAACAAGCTATTTTAATCGAAGTCCAGTTACCATATGTGTAATTTATATATTATGATCAGAAATAGATTGAGTTCAGTGCTATTTTATTTAAATTAAAATTAAAAAATGGAGGTCTCATGACCTATAGGTGATAGGTTTAATTTCCATCCCCACTAATTAGTAAACAGTAA